TAGTGAATCTAAAAAATACAGTGAACGAGGACAGTAAGCTGAATAAAAATTTTAAATGTTTTAAAATGTCTTTGTTCACTCAAATTTAAATAACATATTTTAGCAACAAAACCTGAAATATAACTGTTGCATAAATTAAGTTTCTTGTGCTCAAATATCATTTAAAAAAACCTTATATTTCAGGTTGGTCCAGCCAATGTGCAAGTGTAGTCCTAAATATGCCTGTCAGGACACTGACTGTTTCTATGGCAACAGGAGAGTATTCAGTCTATTCAGTGAGACTTGATGACTTCAGTTCATGATTGGCTCTTTTATTTAGCAGGCGGGACATATTCCACCATATTGAATGTCATATTACATATGTTATATTACATATACATACATATATACATATACAATCCTGTGATTCAAAGCTGATTTTTTTTAGCATCATTACTCCAGTCTTCAGTGTCACATAATGCTTCAGAAATCATTCTAATATGCTGATTTTCTACTCTACTGTTTTCTACTATGAAAACAGTCATCACAAGAATTCTTTGATGAATGGAAAGTTCAAGAGAACAGCACTTATTTAAAATGGAAATTGTCAATTTTGGTCAATTTAATGCATCCTTGATGAATAAAAGTATTGTTTTCTTTAAATTAAAAAAACAAAAACTTACTGAGCCTAAACTTTTGAACTGTGATAGACAGATAGATGCATGTCTGTAAACAATTTAAGCACTGACACACAATCATATAGATTAACTGCCCTCACAATCTGAACATTCAAGTTTATAAAATATGAACTTTCTATTAAATAATATTTGCTTAACTTGTGCATTGCAGCAGTAAAAGAAATAAAGTGTTGCTACAGTTTCGTAATTACTAAATTAGTTACTTTTGGTAATAATAGGAGGCTGGCTGTTCACCCCTGACAGAAACACTGAACCATAAACTGCAAACCCAGCGTAGAGCGGTTCAGTCAACGTAGTTTTGAATGTATATATGTGGGCGAGAGTGTGTGTGTCTGTCCAGATACACTGCTACTCTGTTTGAGGGTTTTGACAGGAAATTTGCATCTGTTTTCTTGTTATTGTGCCAGGCACTATATCCATCAGGAGTACAGAAAAGACTCCAGGACTTATCATTCCACCCAAATCTACAGTCGTTCCCTCTTTTCTTTCCTTTATTTCCTTTATATGTTACTGCAACATAAGCCCCCCCCACTCCATTCAACCTCCCATTAACAGCATTCAGACAGAGTTTCTCTACACAGAACCTGCTCCTGGTGCTCAAATCTCTCCGGATGATCAGGATATGGCTGCTCGTCCTCCACATGTGTCGCCTTTCTCTTCTCTTCAGATAGAGCGAGATGAGAGTTTACAGTGTTTGGATCCAGCGTAAGATCACAGGCGTCTGAAAACAAGAGAAATTAGAACAACAGATACAAGATCATAACCATCATATACATTGAAGGCAATGTGTAAATGTCAAAATGTTTGAGATTGCCAATCAAAGAGGGCTTTGCTGTTCACAAAACCCAAACATGAATTTCAGCATGACCCTTGTAACAGTAAAAGACTATGAGAAAAGATCTAAGTAGCTAAACATTTAATGTTTGACTTTTAGCTTTCTAACATTTTTAAGTTTCTAAATGTTAAATAACCAACAGTAATGCAGAATATTTGAAACCATTCGACTTAGAGAATCACCATTTCAATACCTTTCAACACCACAGCAATAATAAAAGTAAAAAATTATTTTAGTAAACAAACAGTAATAAAATAAGAAGCAGCAAATTATGAGCAATAGGGAAAATAAACACAATTTTATATATATATATATATATATATATACATATACACACACACACACACGCACACATTATTTTGCCACACTGAAGGTAGCAATCCTACTTTCCAGGGCAGTATTTTAAATGTGAACAGGAGAGTAAAAAGATGCATGATTCAGAATGGATTGCATTTAATGCAAACAGAATTAACATGAACCAAACTGATACTTGACTCTTCACCATGTAAACACTCACAGTGCTTTCCTGCAGTTCATCACAGCTGGTACCAGTCTTCTTCTGCCCTCATCTGATGTGTTGTATTTCTTGAGGTCCAGCTCCTCTAGCACTTCATCTGACATCTGGAGCATGTAGCGATCGCCGAGCAGTAAGATAGAGAGAGTTTATTCTGTGAGTCTTTGTCTGATTTCATAAACTCCAGAATCTCTCTGTCTGATCTTTCATCTCCAGCAGACAGTGGAAAAGATTGATGGACCTGTCAGCCGAGAGAGCCTGTTCATGTTTGATTTTGTCTTTAATATAAGCTGCGGTTATCCTGATGCTCTCTGAGCTCTTCTGTGTCAGCAGATCCTGTAGGGGTCTCTGATTGGACTCCAGTGAGAACCGCAGGAATCTTTTAATGTGTGAGATGATTCTGCTGGCTTGATGCTCATCACTGATTCTCTTCCTGAAATATTCCTTCTTCTGAGGTTCATTGAATCCCTCAGTTTCTGTCAGACGGTTGATGTATTGTGAGGGGATCTGACTGGCTGCTGCTGGTCTGGAGGTGATCCAGATGAGAACATTGGGAAGCAGCTCTCCTCTGATGAGGTTTGACATTAACACCCCCACTGATGAAGACTCATCCACATCTGAAACCGTCTCATTTTCTGAAAACATCAGTGTAATTCTGCTTTCATCCAGACCATCAAAAATTAATACAACTTTACACTCCTCAAGAATCTTTGAAGTACAGGATGAAAGTCCAGCAGAAGACTGTGTTGGTGATCTTTAAACAAGTTCAGCTCTCGAAATGGAAGCACAAACATGAAATCTACATCCTGATTGGCTTTTCCCTCGGCCCAGTCCAGAATGAACTTTTGCACAGAGACTGATTTTCCAATTCCAGCAATTCCGTAAGAACGGACTAAATCCAGAACTGTGGCAACATCTCCAAGATGCTTCCTAGAAGTTCTCATTGGCTTTAAACTGTTTCTATCACTGAGATGTAAAATCTGCATAATATTTTCATGTTTGCCATCTTAAAATGGAATCGGTGTGAGGGAAAGTCTTTTCAACTGTGTATATTTAGCTGCACGGGCCTTAGAAATCTCAGCATTTAAACCTTAACAGAAGCACTAACACAAGTAAATGCTTCTCTCTAGTGGTGGTCCAAAGTATTGTGAAATAATCACCTGTCACATTTGAGGAACCTTGAAAACTTCAGCTCAAACCAACCAACATTAAAACAACAACAATAATACCTAATATGATTTACACACACACACACACACACCAAAACCCTGAAACTTTAATGGATGTACTACATTTTCCCCTTTATTATGTTGTTTTTCATCCTTCTGCCCATCAGGATTTTGTGATATTTATTCTACAGCCTAGAAGCAGAAGACGAAGTGAAAAGAAATTATTTTATCGAAAATTCTTATAAATAGAAAAGAATATGATTACTTTGTTGCATAATATGAACAAATCTCAATGTTCGATTCTTGTTTATTTTCATACAATAAATAATTTTGGGATTGCTTTGGGTCGCCACTTGGCTCTGAAGCAAAATCAGTTGAGAATCAACTGTAACCTGCAACAAGTCACTGAATGAATCTGGTGAACATTCAAAAGATTCAAAAGCCTGTATTTATCATGTACCCAGACACTATATAAGTAAGTTTAATTCCATTATCTATGAGTGAGTAGAAACTTGAAAAACAAGGTGTACCCACAACAGACAGCCATGAGAATTTGAAGACATCCAACAAAGCAAAACAGCTTCAAACTATATTTACACAATATACAAGGCAAGAGATTCAAACTTTTCTTCAATGCTCCAACTATAAAGTTGATCTTCTTAAAGGGTTAGTTCAGCCAAAAATGAAAATTAGGCTGCGTTTTACTCACCCCCGATGCATCCTAGGTGTATATGACTTTCTTCTTTCAGACGAATCCAGTCGGAGTTATATTAAAAATTGTCTTTGATCTTTCATCGGCTTTGCGCATGCGCCGCTCAGAAGTGACGCACGCGGAGAGATCGAAACAAAACAACGGTCACTAATTAGAAGTACAAAACGAGGATTTGTAAAGAAGAATGTCTGAGGATTTCGATATAAGCCAAGAGGAGACTGGTTTTCCTTTGCTAAAGTATACTTTGCTTCTTTTGATCCTGTAAACAAACGTTGGTTTTCACGAGACTCAGCAACGCATGCGCAACACTGACCTCATACGTCATGCTCCTGGAACTGCTTCTGTGTACAACTGCTGGCGCAAGCTAGATTAAAGTGATTATTACGTTTTGAATATGGATATTTTTCTTACAAAAACGCATCGATTCGCTACAGGAGGCCTTTGTTCACCCCCCGGAGCCGTGTGAGACACTTTTTTTTGTGGAAGGGTGCTTTTTATTTCACGTCTTTTGAACTGAAGCAATGCAACACCCGCTGAGTACAACGATAGAGCTTGAAAGATCAAAGACAATTTTTTATATAACTCCGACTGGATTCGTCTGAAAGAAGAAAGTCATATACACCTAGGATGCATCGGGGGTGAGTGAAACACAGCCTAATTTTTATTTTTAGGTGAACTAACCATTTAAGGCACATTAAGTACATCTCATAAATGATTAGGCAAAAAATGGAGGCTGATTCCAATCAGCGACTCCAAATTATCTTAAAAATAAACATACATAACACACACCAAAATGGTGCAATGCACATACGGAAGTGAAGCTGTACATGATATTAAAGATTTAACTGTAAACAATTAACAATTTTCAAACTGAAAGATATGCAGATACATTACAAAATAAACAGAAAATCACCTGGAAATGTGTAATACAGTGAAGGTACTGTCATTTTGACACAGAAAACACCAAGTCACACCATTTGCGTGACATTTATAACACTTATTTGTATATATATATTTTTTAATTTCTCACTCTCAGATCACCAGGAAAATTATCTTTCTGCATGTTGATCAAAAGAGTCATTTTTATCGGAGTTTTAATGAATGCACTGATCATTAAGGGCTCTATATTTACAAGCACACACATAAATCGTGTCTCAGCGTGGAGAACGTCGAGGTTTGAATCGTTCCCAGCCGGCTCTGTCTGTCCAGCTGTTCTCTGGGAGCAGCGAGTCCTTCAGTCTGTCTGGCAGTGGCAGGGCTTTCACCTTCTCCTCGAAAGGCCAGGGCCGCAGACAGAGGCGGATGAGTCTCCTGCAAAGGCATCTCAGTGGCAGCGGCTGCCTTTCTTGCTCCTCTAGTCTGCTGTAGAGCTCCAGCAGGGGATGAGGGGTAGAGATCTGATCCAGCACGGGCAGTTTTGAGTGGGGGAAGAGAGGAGGAATGACCGGACAGCAGATTCTGGCCAGATCCAACAGCACTTCAGCTTTGGCTAAAACATCAGCCGTCTCAGCAGCATCTAAAGCTTCCCGGAGAGCTTCTGCGAGACGTGTGAATATCAACTGTTGACCTGTCCAGTAGGAGGCGCTGTGGTGAGAGCAGACGAAGGAAGCACCATGCTGGAGTAAAAGGGCTGTCAGGGGAAACAGCAAGTTGAAGTTCTCCAGACTGGTGTAGGTTAGCGAATGTTCCCACACTTCCCCGTCGGTAGCGTTCAAGCAGCAGCTGGGATCGGCGCCGTGGCTGATCAGAAGATGTGCTACGTGGGTACAGAAGTGCCCGATCTCCTTCGCATTCTCCACGCTGCTGTATATATATATATATATATATATATGTATTGAGTACATGTACAGTAAATTAACATACTTTCCAGAAGGCCAACAATTCACCAAAAATGTTTTTTTTATTGTCTTATGAAGTATTCTAATTTGTTGTGAATTGGTGGGTTTTTGTTAAATGTGAGCCAAAATCATCACAATTAAAAGAACCAAAGACTTAAACTACTTCAGTCTGTGTGCATTGAATTTATTTAATACACGAGTTTCACAATTTGCGTTGAATTACTGAAATAAATGAACTTTTCCACGACATTCTAATTTATTGAGATGCACCTGTATGTATCTTCTTTTTTATTAAAAGACTTGTCATTTGCACTTACATATTGTTGCTCTTTTGTTAGTTTTGATTGCTTCTATTGTCCTCATTTGTAAGTCGCTTTGGATAAAAGCATCTGCTAAATGACTAAATGTAAATTATACAATTAAACTTCTTTCAACATTGCAATAACAACTATATAAAACTTTTAGTTTAATATTTGAAATAAATTATACATTCTTCCATGTTGAAACAATTTTAAAAAAATCCATTATTGAAATTTCTGAATACAGTTGTTGTCTAGTAATGTCCGAGCTGATGTTTTAAATTCACAGTGAAGCACCTCTTTCTAGAAGCAGCTGTATATTGTCCAAATTATTGACTGTGAGTCCATCACTGCTGGCCAGAGCATGAAGCAGTGCCGTTTTTCCTGCAAGCAGGTACAATAAACAGAGAGTTAGAATCACATATAAAAAGGAAACCACAAACAATCTATTTGGTTAGATAATTCAGCAAAAATACCATTCTTGTCTTTTGCATTCACATCAGCACCCAAATCCAGAAGCACACGCAGACACGGCAACTTATCCACCTCCTCACCGGCCAAATCAAGAGGGCTGCTTTCACGAATCTATTGCAGAGACAAAAAGGCAAATATTTAAAGACATTTAAGAAATGTAAGAAGTAAAGATAATGTCTGCATTCAAAGCAAATATAAAAGATACAGTGAATATGAAAAAAATAATATGCATGTTCACAACAGGTCATTTTATAGATAGAGAGAGAGAGAGAGAGAGAGAGAGAGAGAGAGAGAGATTCTCACCCTGTCCCTCTTTTCGATTTCAGCTCCGTGAGATATCAACATCTGCACCATGTCTGGCTTGTTTCTCAGCACTGCAATGTGTAAGGGGTTGTAGTACAATACAGGGTCTGAAACCATAAGAAAAAGGTCTGATTATGTTTCCTTGATGATAATGAGGTTTATCAGAATCCCAAAAGCATCTTTAGCATCTACAAACCTTCAAAGTTGAGATCAGCTCCGTAACGCAGAAGCACCTGTGCTGCGCTGACCAACCCAATATCAGCCACTCGAAACAGAGAGTAACTGATTCCCTCCATGAAGACGGGAGACTGAGACTCCCTATCCAGAAGCTCCACAAGAGCCCCAGAGACGCTTTCTTCATCATCTCGCCTGTGACATGCAGGATATCAAAATGCAGTTCATAAAATCCTCTCGTCATCTGCTCATTGCAGTCGGTTTGCTGACCTACGCTGGTTTTCTCCTTCTATTCCCAAAACACACATCACAGCATCCACCAGCGGCTGGTACTCATACACGATCCTCCTGAAGCCGTGCAGGAAAGGCATAGTCTGTTCCCTTTGTGCCACGATCTCTTCACGCTGTAAAACAGAACAGATACATGTAAATCATACAGAAATCATGTTGTCATTCAGCAAAACATCACATACATAATGTTTTATACAATACAGATCAGTCTGTTTGTGACAATTAAACAATGTTATCAATTCTTATGCAGCAATTAAGGTATATAGTAATTGTAAGGCTATGATTATATAAGAAACAACTACTCAATCTTTAAAAACTCAGTTTTTAAATAAATTTTAAAATAAAACATTTAAATTTATTTAAAATTTTAAATAAAACATTTTAAAAAAGAGGTTTATCAGATGGACCACACCTCTGAAAGAGCGCTATATTCACATCCATGAAAATATACATTAATTTAACACCTTAGAATGTGTATTTAAAATTATAACATCTCAATTAGTAGAAAATAAACCTATAAAGCAGATTTATACATTTTGTTCGTTGTTTTATGTAACGTTAGAGGGATCTTTACTTGCCTGCTAGCTGTCTGCTGCTTGCTATATGAAAAACATTTTATAAAAGAGGTTTATCAGATGGACCACACCTCTGAAAGAGCGCTATATTCACATCCATGAAAATATACATTAATTTAACACCTTAGAAGATGTATTTAAAATTATAACATCTCAATTAGTAGAAAATAAACCTATAAAGCAGATTTATACATTTTGTTCGTTGTTTTTTGTAACGTTAGAGGGATCTTTACTTGCCTGCAGCTGTCTGCTGCTTGCTATATGATTCATACCTAATCAAAGCTCCCGGAGGCTCCAGGAATTATTTTTTATTTTTTAAACATAATAAAAAATTTTTTTAAACATATACTTAAAAATCTGCGTTTCATTCTTATGTTTGTTATTCTTTTAGTTTACCCACTGTAGAACCGGAAGTAGTTCCTCCCACATGTTACAGTGAAAGTAACGGACGGTCGTGAGGATTTTTTTCTTTTCAAAATAAAAGCACACGAATAAACGTGGAATTATGAATAATTAATAAATGTTAATTACATTTCAAAATAGTAACGAGGTTTAGTCTTTCATCGGAGTCAAATCTCACGTCACCATATATATATATATATATATATATTCTACCTAAAATAATATTTACAAAAATACTTAAGATATATTAAAGAAATATTGCAATCTGTATTAACAGGGTAAAGATCAAGATCAAAAATTATTCACTTGAGGAGGCCTATTCATATTCAAATTTGAAATATAACTAGGTTTTCATTAAACATGTGATTCAATCTTTAAAAGTGAAACATCTACACCCAAGTTTCCATCTTTATTGTCTGGTAATATGCACTAGGTTGCCATTAACAAATAAAAATAAGGAAAACAGAAAGACCAAATGTAGCTTAATTCAGCTAGTGTGATTACATTTATTGAGTTCAACAAGGCATAAATACAGTAGTGTTCATGTGCAAGCGAACGCAACTTCAGTGACACGCTGCCTCAACATTCTCATTCTCACACACTCACTCACAGAGACACAAAATGCACACAAGTGAACAAAGAATTATATATATTAATGTCTTTATATTATATATATAACTATATATATATATATATATATGATTATATTAATGACCACAAAGCACTAATGAATTCCACAAACGAGCGCCACATCCCACAAAACCAATAAAAACAGAAATATCAGCTCTAAAACAAAGATAAGACACAAGTTTCTTTCATGGTCCACATGATTTCGTTCAGACTCACTCAAAACACAACAGTCATCTTGACATTTACAGTAGGAGTTTCATTGCACATGATTCAAGCCAGCCTGCGCAGTAGATGCTGTTGCCAACGTAGCGAAAGCTTGGAGTTGCCATGGTTACTTCTGCTCCCGTCTCCAGATGATCACCATGCCGGTGGCGTCAGAGGAGGCCAGCAGGCTTTCGTCGCAGTTGAAGCTCACGTCCAGGACGGGCCCGCTGTGGCCCTGCAGCTTGTTAACGATGGCCTTAGTGTTGCGCTCAACGTCGAAAAAGTAGACGCATGCATCCTCGCTGCCAGTGACTGCAAGAGGGAAAAAGCAGGATTCACTTATTTTGGCTTTGCTCCAAAACATAGTGATTTGCCTACATAGAAAGCACCTCGCAAGTGATTGTGAAAATTCTACAAAGACAGCAACATGTCATACAAACAGGAGATTGATTGAATTCAATAGTATGCAACTAGCTGCCATGTTGCTAGCCTAATAACACATATAAAGTCATACATACACTACCATTCAAAAGACATTAAAACATTGATGTCAGTAAAGTGTCAGTACAGACATTTGTTACAAAAGGTTTATTATTTCAAATAAATGCTGCTCTTCTAACTTTTTATTCATCAAAATAAATCATATTTTGCCGCACAACTTGTTTTCAACATTGACAATAATTAGGAATGTTTCTTGAGCAGCAAATCAGCATATTAGAATGATTTCTGACAGATCGGACAGAAATAGCCTGTAATATGATGATTATGGTCTTACCAACACAGGCTCCCTGTCTGAAGGACATGAGAGGACAGAAGATGCTGTGCAGCGGTTGGGATCCGTGTTGAATGGGGAAACTCCTCTTCAGCTGTAGTGTTCCCTCATTATCCACGACCCTGTCAACACCAGTTCCACACTGATCAATAATCATCTCAGTCAAGAGAAAGTGACAATATGAGTTGCATTCTAACCTGTAGAGCAGTAGTTTGTTGACACAGGCGTTGACGAGCAGCGACGGATCCCGTGCCTCTCGACTGATCCACGAGCGGGCTGAGATACTAGAGATAGAGCTGCCCTCGTTCACCACCAGCCTCTTAGCTTTGGTCAGTTTTCCTGTGAAGAAGAACCTCAGCTTTACATAAACGCCAATATATCAACTGTACTCTCATTTACATTTCCACCAGTTTTTTTTTTTTTGCAAGAAAATATCTTTTGTGCAAGCGAACGCAACTTCACGCTGACTCAACGTTCTCATTCTCACACACTCACTCTAAGACACACAAAGCACAAAGGTGAACAAAGTATTATATTAACATCTCCTCTCTTAAGTTGCACATTTATGACCACAAAGCACTAATGAATTTCACAAACAAGCGCCACGTCCCACATAACCAAAAACAGAAAAATCAGCCCTAAAACAAAGATAAGACACAAGTTTCTTTCATGGTCCACATGATTTCGTTCAGACTCACTCAAAACACAACAGTCATCTTGACATTTACAGTAGGAGTTTCATTGCACATGATTCAAGCCAGCCTGCGCAGTAGATGCTGTTGCCAACGTAGCGAAAGCTTGGAGTTGCCATGGTTACTTCTGCTCCCGTCTCCAGATGATCACCATGCCGGTGGCGTCAGAGGAGGCCAGCAGGCTTTCGTCGCAGTTGAAGCTCACGTCCAGGACGGGCCCGCTGTGGCCCTGCAGCTTGTTAACGATGGCCTTAGTGTTGCGCTCAACGTCGAAAAAGTAGACGCATGCATCCTCGCTGCCAGTGACTGCAAGAGGGAAAAAGCAGGATTCACTTATTTTGGCTTTGCTCCAAAACATAGTGATTTGCCTACATAGAAAGCACCTCGCAAGTGATTGTGAAAATTCTACAAAGACAGCAACATGTCATACAAACAGGAGATTGATTGAATTCAATAGTATGCAACTAGCTGCCATGTTGCTAGCCTAATAACACATATAAAGTCATACATACACTACCATTCAAAAGACATTAAAACATTGATGTCAGTAAAGTGTCAGTACAGACATTTGTTACAAAAGGTTTATTATTTCAAATAAATGCTGCTCTTCTAACTTTTTATTCATCAAAATAAATCATATTTTGCCGCACAACTTGTTTTCAACATTGACAATAATTAGGAATGTTTCTTGAGCAGCAAATCAGCATATTAGAATGATTTCTGACAGATCGGACAGAAATAGCCTGTAATATGATGATTATGGTCTTACCAACACAGGCTCCCTGTCTGAAGGACATGAGAGGACAGAAGATGCTGTGCAGCGGTTGGGATCCGTGTTGAATGGGGAAACTCCTCTTCAGCTGTAGTGTTCCCTCATTATCCACGACCCTGTCAACACCAGTTCCACACTGATCAATAATCATCTCAGTCAAGAGAAAGTGACAATATGAGTTGCATTCTAACCTGTAGAGCAGTAGTTTGTTGACACAGGCGTTGACGAGCAGCGACGGATCCCGTGCCTCTCGACTGATCCACGAGCGGGCTGAGATACTAGAGATAGAGCTGCCCTCGTTCACCACCAGCCTCTTAGCTTTGGTCAGTTTTCCTGTGAAGAAGAACCTCAGCTTTACATAAACGCCAATATATCAACTGTACTCTCATTTACATTTCCACCAGTTTTTTTTTTTTTGCAAGAAAATATCTTTGTACCTGTGGCCATGTCAAAGAGGAAGGAGAAAATGCTTCCCCTGTCATCACCAGCCCACAGGATTCTCCCCGGAGCATCAAACGAGAGAGAAAGCACTCGACCGGTGAGTTTACTGGAGCCTCCTTTCACTTTCTTCCCAGTGGAGATGTTCACCACCTGCAGGTGGTGTTTACTGTTGCCAACCTAGGGACAGACAACAAAGGACAGATTTTATGTATCATATCAACAAAAACTACTTCACAGCAAAATCTTCACGCGGTAGATGAGATTCAGGGTAGGAAATGTGTAACAGACGTTAAAAGGTTTTATTTTCACAATGTAAATATATAAAATAACTGTTGTATAGAAAATTAAACAACTCAGTAGCTTGGTTCAAGTTGCTTGTTTATGATGCAGCATTGTATAAAAGGCAATATTTTAGATTGCTATCATATATCATATCGAATATCATATAAATATTTTCTTCAGAAGTACAATGAATTTCTGTTGGGGTGTTTATTAACCTTGCAAAGCCTGACATTTTTTATATTGACGGTTTTAAACATTTGACGTGGAACAGCTTAGACAAAATCTAAAAAAAGTTATATTCACATACATACACAAAGTATGTGTGTGGGTTTTTTTCGAGTATCATATTTGATGCATCAGGCTTTTATGGCTCATGTAGCATGATATAGTGAGAATATGGAGCTCATACTCAAGGAGAAAAAACATTTTTTTCAGCGGTCCAAATTGATTCTGATAATTTATTATATTTAGTTATTATATTTTTATATATGATATTTATATGGCCAAAAAGTAAGGTGGCATTCTGATTTTAATGTAAATCAATGAGATAATTATATAGCGAAATACTTAAAGAAAAATGCATAGAAATATATTCACTCTATATGTCCCAATAATGTCTCAGCAACATTATTTTTAAATGCTTAGTTTTTTTCAAAGTTCTGTAGTTTCAAAACATATAATGCAATGGAATACAATGATGACTGAGATGAATAAATAAACCTTCCTCAAAAGCCTGATGCATCAATTGTGATACTCACATTTTATCATTATTTTTTCTAAAAAATTATGCATGGGTAATCAAGTAAGTCTAAAAACAAAATAAATTATTATATTATGTAATAAGTTATTCATCAATTTATTTTGTGTTCACAATGCATGTTATAAATTAATCAAACTCATAGCAACTCCTGAGATTGTCTGGGTTTAGCTGGAGTGTTCACGTATAAACAAAATTGCTTTAAGAGCCACATAAAAAAAGAAAGTATAAGAGATATAATCAACCCATCAATTGCATTTCTTGTCAAATGTCTTTACAGGTCACCCACCACAGTAGTTGGTAGGTAAGTAAAAAATTACCCAGCACTGCACACAAAATACTCTTTTTGGCTGGTGGCGCATGTTAATTTCACACCCTAATAGAAAGGGCTGATGGTATTTTTTACTGCAGTCTGCAGTGTTTCATCAGCATAAACAATTCAATATTCCCACAAAACTTCTGTCACCTTGAATAATCCCATACTAACTTTATATTCACCATATAGTGCATTGTGGTTTCTACAAAAATGTTAAGCAGCTCAACTGTTTTCAACATATGACAATAATAAGAAATGTAGTTTCCTGAGCAGTAAATCAGCATATTAGAATGATTTCTGAAGGATCATGTGACACTGAAGACTGGAGTAATGATGCTGAAAATTCAGATTTGTTTCACAGAAATAAATTACATTTTAAAATATATTTAAACAGAAAAAAGTATAGATTGTAATAATATTTCACTTACTGTTTTTACCATATTTTGATAAAATAAGAGAATACAAGACTTCCTTCAAAAACATTTTAAAATCTTATTGAGCCCAAACTTTTAAATGGTAGTATACAAAGGAAACAAAAATGGCTGGCATTTGGACTCACCACAGTCAGGTTGTTGTTCATGGGCTGAAAAGTGCAGCACAGCAGCTCACTGCCCTCTGGGTCGGCCACCTCTCGGATGCAGCGTCCATCCTCTGTGTTCCAGATACGCAGAGTGCCATCTTTTGACGTGGACACAATGATGTCATTGCTGAGTGACCAGGCAAAGTCAGTCACGGGACCAGCATGGCCCTTTAGTGTCACCTTTACAGTTGGTGGAGGCGGGGACAATGTCATGATTGACAATGTCCCATCCAACGAGCAGCAGGCGAGGAGGTGTTTATCATCATTGGCAAACTGCAATCGAGGAACTGAGGAGGCAAAATAGTAAAAGGTTAAAATGAGAGGGTAAAACAACAGTCCAGACCCCGGCCTGACAGATGCTACTTTCAAACATTTATGGGCAAGCACTGAAGCAGGCTAGTGGTAATGCAACTTCACAGCAAAAAGGATCAAAAGTGCTTTTTGGTCAAAATGCTGGTCTTGATAAGGTATTCATCTAAATACGGTTATGTCTAAGGTGCAGTATGGATATATGTAAAAGTATCAGATCTGTGAACTAGCAGATGTTGCAAAGCAGAAATTAAACAACTATATTAATTAAACAATATAAAAAAAAGAAGAAATGGCAATCCAGCATCACTGCTTTTTTTTTCTTCTTTCTTTTTTTCTGTTTGGCCAATAAGTATCAGGACTTTTATT